GGGGGGGGGGGGATTGGTATCCTTGATGAAAATAGCATCGCAAGGTTTCCATTAAACGTTTTCACTTTGAATAGTGAAATAATTAGAGCTCAATGTCATTGGAGAATTTTTATATCGGTTCGATATTTATACATGCATACTCCTTGCGAGAATATTAGGTCGCGTAAACGGTGAAACATACCACAGATTATACTGTGTCATGGTTTCTAGCACGCTCGTCGAGACTCAATGTCGCCCACATTTTCGTTTGCATACGGAATCACGATGCAGATGAAAAATTTCATTTTTACGAACTACTAGACCGTGTCGGTATGAAATTAAAATTAACACAGTGTCGTAGTTAAGCATGCAAATGTATTTCCTTTTCGTGCAAGCGTTGAAGATCGACCCCGGCCATCTGATATTCACGGCAGTAATAAACATTTCAGTTTTCGTCAAATTTATTCGTGACTTATTCGTTTGACATTAGAGATATAAGGATAAGAAACGTACCAAACGAGGAAGAGATTAACTTTCAGTTATTTTTATCACATATAGTGCGGTGATTATACATGCAAATTGTAACTCTCTTTCTATGAATAAATCGCAATTTTAAATTCTGTGAAGGAACCTTCGATTTACATGAAATAGGAAATGTCGAATTATTTTGTTTGGAATGATAACGTTCTTGAAGTTTCTTCTGATTTCCTATGTGCCCAAATAAAACAAAACTTATAAGAAGATAACGTCTAACAAAAGTAAGAGGAATTAATTTTCATTTAAACTGCATAAAAACGGATTTAATAAATTTATTTGTTCATCCTAACTTAACTTTAAATTATATACATATACATGTACATATATGTGCAACTATATGCTTCCAGAAACTTCAAAGAAACTTATCCAAACCTGTTTAATTTATTATGATTTTCTGGCTGCCCTACGACGTTTCGAAAATTTCAAAACATCACTCAAATATTTTAATTCCAGAACCGTGGGGATATCTTTCAGAATATTTAAATTCACAAGTGCTCGAACTTCCATATTTTTCCTTTCCTTTACGCTTCCTTTGAAGGCTTGGAAGTGTCTTTGAAGACTTAGAGTGCCCAGTGGTTGAAAACAGAAAAATACTGCGGATATTTATATAAATTTATACTTGTAGAAAAAACCCCAAGGAACGAAACTTAATTAAATATTTGTTTCATCTCTTGTAATTGCATACTGCAACACGTACTTCTATACTTCTGAATATTCTGCATACTTTTGCAATTATATTGATGTGTAATATACTTTCGCACATCAATATAAATGAATGAAATAAACATTCGTAGTTTATTTATTATTTACTTTGTCGATACCCATTTAAATTGTGAATATGAATTATATGTCAAATGTCGTCAACACCCAATTGATAACAGAAATTAAAAGAGTACTGCGTAACAATAAACACAGTCAGCTTAATCAAACTTACAAACACATGATACTATTTGATACTATTCCACTTAGTACAAATCTAAGACTTCAAACTCGAACTAAACACGTACAACTAACGTACAACGTAATCCACCGCCACGATTCAACCCTTCTGATCCTCGAATTTTTGTGTTCTAATCACACTCTTACTTTTAACAAATAAAAATATTTCCAGCACTTCAAAAAAAAACTTCAGCATGTGCTCAAGAGGCGAAATCACGTAGATCGGCAACGATCCATTCATCTTTCCCTCGATCTTAAGAAATTTGTTAACGAGAATTCACAAAACGCAGCAGATTTAAACACGTCTCACGATAGAGCCAGAAGAATGAAGAAATTCTCGTTTCCCAACGCGTCCATTACCATTCATGCGATTACGATGCATACGTTAGACGGACGAACGTTGTCGATTTTTCGCTATATCGACCGAACCACGGTCACCGGGGACCGGATCCTTAGCGAATGAAATAAAAATAGAAATATCCGTATACAATGCAAGGAGCAAGATCTCTGTGTGGCCTATAGGGGCACGTTGTAAGATGAGAAATGCATGAGAAAGGTCGGCGACTTACCATCGTGGGAGTCGTAGAGGTAGATGATTTTCTTCCAGCCGTAATATCGCACCGTGTCGATGATAGCGCGATGATAATCCGGACGCATACTTATGGCGAAATCCAAGAGACCTGAGGACGGTGTCAGAACCTGAAACACGTAGGGCGGACATTCACGTTTACGCTTTCGACTTTCAGATTTTATTCGGTCGGGGGGACGAACAGAACCGAAAACTGCGGGGACGCGTGGTGAACCGTTGAATGGCGCCGTTTTTCCGAGCGAACACGACGAGGACGGAAACGCCGCCAGTGTAAATGTAACCGTAAATATTTACGATGCTGTACCGTGGCGCGAATGTTGGTCAGTTCCAAAGCTCCTTGCTACGTAATATCGGACCGTTTCCCCAGCTTTCTTTCTCCCTTGCGAAGTAACCAGCCGATTTAAGCGAATTACGCTTTCGTTTGGGATCGTTGGTGCTTTTTTTGCATTCAGGAAGAAGGAACTTTTTCACATACGAATGTTCGTAAGTATCTGGATGCTTTATGATAAGTCGATTTGTAGTAATGTTAATTTATAGAATAATATTTGAAGTATTTGAAAAGAAACGAAGATTATAGCTGATCGGGAATCAATGAACAGAATTGGAACTTACTATCTCTTTATGGACTCGGGGTAAACTATAAGTTAAAATTATATTACATTTTAATAAATAGAAATATATTCTACTGCTTACTATATATATTTATCATTTAAGTATTACTGCTTCCATCAATATCGAAAGTCTTACTGTCAAGTTAGAAAAAGCTTTTTTTATCTGGCTTTCAATTTAAAAATTTACAAAGTTGACAATTAAGAAACATTGTAATCGTAATAGGTTTGACAATTGCAAATGTTAGTTTTATTATTAAATATTAGTTTTCAGAAATCCATTTAATTCACTTGTACGTGATATGATGATTATGAAGATAAAAGTCGTGACAGTACGTTTCATCTGTAATTTTGTAAATTAAAATACATTTCGTCAAAAAACACGCGTGTATCCAGATACCTCTGAATAATCGTATAAATCTTTGTCGAAACATTAAATTGTACGTACATCTAATTAAAAAATACTTCTTGGAAAGATATATTTCAAACAACACAATGACTTTTAATCATTAAAAATCATAAGTAACTTAAAAACGTAACAAACGGTGTAGGTTTTCATAAGATTTAGTAACTTAAAGTCTTTTTTTCGTAAACCGTCCCACAATTGACAAAGAGAGGTTCCAAGATGATTTTTTAATGAAATTTCATTCAATGGAACATTACAAAACCGTCATCTACTCGTACGTATCTTATAAACTATTAAAAAATCCACTGTCAAAAACCGTGTGCCATTAGTTTCAGTTTTTCAAGCTCTACCATGTCACGAAGTCTCATAAAAAAATCAGGGTAACACTTTGGGATTTCTCTCGGTAAAAATGACCATAGCTAGCCATTAAAGTTTCCTGAGCTAACTACAGAAGCAACTTTCCGTCATCCAATATCTACTGTAACAGAATAATCCCTTACGAAGAGACAGAAAAAGAAGGAAGAAATATAGCAATAACAAGGAACACGTCGCATTCTGTAAGATGCCAGGAGAAACTAGCATTGTACAAATGTTCACGGAAGTATTCGAACACTAGTAGATACCTTTTATGAATGTATCATGCGTATTATGTGAAACATTTTGAGTTTTCATTAACATCGTTATAAGACTCGATTGTCGTGTTTATGTTGATAAAGTTTGAAACAAATCTGAAAGTCCATATATAAGGTACTTAGTACAAGTATACTCTATATGAACCTGTTAAAAGGTGTAAATTAATCGACTCTACTTTTCATTAATTTTCTAATTTCATTACATAAATACATGATTGATATTTGACCGACAAGAAACAAATTACTTACTTGCGCAAGTTCATTAATCACGAGAGAATGACATAACTACAATAATAGTAAATTTTAAGACAGATTTAAAAAATAGTGTTTTGTAACATCATTATTTCTCTGTATTTCTTAATTGCCTGAGTTGATCAACGCTGCTTCTGAACGATTTATATTTCAATTCAGAAATTACAAATGTATTTAAATACCCGATTGTCCATTATACAGGATGGTTGGTAACTGGTGGTACAAGCGGAAAGGGGGTGATTCTACGCGAAAAAAGAAGTCGAAAATATAGAATACAAATTTTTCGTTCCAGGCTTTGTTTTCGAGAAAATCGACTTTGAATTTTCGCTCGGTACGCGTGCACTTTATCGCGTCTCGTTATAACGGATCTCACTGTAGATCGTTGTCTCGATGGAAAAATTAAAAAAAAAATATGTTTATCGTATATTTTCGACTTCTTTTTTCGCGTAAGATCACCCCGTTTCCGCTTGTACCACCAGTTACCACCCACCCTGTATATTAATCAACCTCGATAGTAGGATCGTATCTAATACTTGTCATAATTAGCTATTCATGCTATATACTAATTTTTCACTAAATATACGTTTACATCTTCACATCTTGTAGCTTTTATATGTACATTCAGATTTCATTTCATTATTACATTCCATTCCATTCCATTCCGCAGATTACATTCCATTATTTCAGATTGGTTTCAAAATTTACCAATTTAATCGTGACAGTCGTGTCTCATTACATTGGCAAGAAAATTTCGAAATATTTTATATAACGTCCACAATGTACACGTAAAAGTTTTCCATGATGAATGTCCAAATACTTTCATGAGCCACTGTACCGCATGGACCGGTAGAGATTGTAAAAGATCTGCTCTTATATAAATGGTCGTTTCCTCCTCGCGAACCGTAATTGACCAGTCGCTGTAGGGAAAGAGAAATGTGGTGTGGGAAGCATAGATAGGAAGAAGAAAAAAGAAGAGAGGGCTTCGAATTAGCATTACCACGCGATTAGCATTTAAACGACATGGACATTCGTTGCGCGGATCGTGTTGCGTGCTCGTGCGTGCTTACCCTGCACGTACATACGTATCGAAACACGGCTGGATAAAAACGCACACTTATATCCTGGCTGGAATATACGGGGTCGCCATTCATCCAATATGGACGTACGATATCAGTTTTGCAAGTGGCGTTACCACGCCGCCACCCGATAAATGCACCCACCGTTTGCAATTCGACGTGGCGAATAAATTTTCGACTGGACCAATTCATTTCGAAATTCAAATTGTAATATGTTTGTATACACTCCATACATATTTATGTATTTATGGATGAAGCTATGGTAGGTATAGGAAAGTGTATGTAAAGCGGTTGTACGTCGATCGAGCAAGCTCTGTCCGCGAACTGATAATTATCGACCACCACGATGAATCTCTATCGATTTTCATTCGAATTTCCTCGTACACGGTAATGTCTATACGTTTGTTTACGCCAGGTATCAGAGGAAAGAGAAACGAAAGCAAAATTAGTTTGATTGAATGCTGGATAACCGCTTCGAGGATAAACCCGCAGCAATTTCTAAGAATATGGCGCGCGTCAACTGACGACGAATATACCTATGTACGTATGGTAGTTACGGAAAAGTTTGACAAGGTTGCCTGGGAAGGTGGACAGTTTCTACTAGCCGATTAAATTACGGACTGAGTTGAATTAAGTTGTTGAGATTGTTGGTGATTTGAAATGAGAGGTATCTTTCGTTTTCCTTTGACACAGTGGTGTCTCACATGTTTGTTCTTTGGTAATCAGTGAATTATATTTTTTGCCTTTTGCGATGGAACGTTTTTTAATTTTATTTTTTTTTTTTTTGTTTGTAGTTCAGTTCACTAAAAATAAACTGATCAATTTGTATAATTGGTCGATTGTTTGTTTAATCGAGTCTGGAAGCCATAAGTGACAAAATTCAAAAAATAACTTTTATCTGTGGTTTTTTGATACGTAGGTATTTCTATACGATCGAGGAAAAAGAATTTTGATTCCCAAATAAGTTAGAAATACTTTGCATTATAGGGATAGAATACTCCGGATTGGAGATATATTTCGAATCCTCTTTCGTATTAAAGAGTCGATAACGAAGGGAGTTTAACAGATTAAAAAGTAATCGTTCAACAAAAAATTAATCCAGATTGTAATTTAAATCTGAGAATTTAATCTATCAATTTACCCTGTCTCCGGTGTTTACTTGTAAAAAGAACGCTTCCATTTTCATCGGAAATCCTGATCAAATTATACGTTGCAAGAAAGACGTTTTCGCTAATAAAACTTGCTGAACGTAAGCTCGCGTTAGTTTTTTATCGATGCAGCTGAGCTTCGAGAAAAGCGATAAAAATAAGCGTCGAAGGCCGATAAGTGAAAATAAGCAGAGACGTAGGGGTGGGTAAGATAAGAATAAATATCGGTGCGTTTTTCCCTTCGGCGATATTATAAGTTTTTATTTAGCCAGGCTGGGAAAGCTATTTACCTTCTCGGGAAACCAGGGCGTCACGAAAGGCATCTGAAACGTGTTGCTATAAGAATGGAGGGTGTCGAATGAATCCGGACTCACGGCACCCAGCATGGAAAACACCCCTCTGCTAAATTGACTGCAGACTGCAACAAACACGCACATGCGATTCGTTAAAATTTCTACATCCATCGATTATTAATTTATAACGATCAAAAGAAATGTAATTAATATTTTTTATTTTAATTCCACTCGATGTATTTAATATTTCACGTGCAAAATTTCATTTACCATACTAGTATCGACTTAAAAATGATCGAAGAGGGATGGAATTTGAAAATTAATATAAATGACAGACGATAACTATAAATGTATATTTTATTTTATAAACTGCTAACTATAAATCTCTATTTTTTCATTTCTATTATACACATAGGTATTATGAATGTTTAAAAGCTCCGATGAATGCAATGGAATTTTCTTTGCGACTGCAGTAACGACTTGGAAATTATTAAAAAATGACGCAACACAAAATTAATGTAAATTGAGATCAATAACTACAAAATTCCATTCCTCGATTTCTTACACACATGTATATATGTATCGAAGACTTTGTACAGATAGGATGGTATTTTCTTGATTATCGCAGTAACGATTTGTAAATTATAGCAAAGTGATGCAATTGAAAATTATCATATATTAGAGATATAGCTATAAACTTCAATCCTTTCTGTAATTGTAAGAAACATCGTTAGGTGTTATTATTTCTTGAAATTATTTGTAATTGTCTTTAAACGATTTCTCAGAATTAAAATGATATATTGTTACGCATAATTTCTCATGATTTTATATGACGTAAAATTTTAACAACTACTCGTGCGATTGTTCCAGAGTAATGTATAGGACATGTTGCAACGTAAATCTAGCCAAACAATATCATAAAAGTATTAATTTCATTGGTAGTAAAAGAAAAGTACTACGCTATAATTTGTCAATTATCATAAAAGAATGATCACCGCCATTTAGGTATACCCTCTCTCAGACCGAATAACGAACGAGTAAACGAAGCGAATTGCACGAAAATCATGCGACAAAGTTCAACGAGCCGCGTCGGCATTTCACGCGTAATTTCATTCGCAAGCTGCGTTTCTCGTTGCCTCGCCCAGTGGCAAACGTGTAATATCCATTCAAAGGTGTCAAAGCATAGCCAGAAGTCCAATAACTCTGTTTTTCATTATCGGGTAGCGAACAAAGCGAAGAGAATTCCATCGAACGCTTCGCTGTCTGCGCGAGTTTTCCTACAGCCGCGCGTAATGCACGCGCTCACGAGCGCTCGCGTTGAATTGCGCGAGTAACAGCTCATTAACATGAAAATTTTGCTCATCTATCACGCTAGCTACAGTAAAAAAGTATTTTGGAGGTAGAACGTTATTTCGATGTTCAATTTTTAATTTTTTACCTCTACTCGATTGTTCATTTTCAATTATTAATTCTCTATCTGTAATTTATAATTTTTTACTTTCAATTCTTTATTTGTGATTTTCTAGTTTTTAATTCTCCACCTTTAATTTATAATTTTCTATCTTCAATTCTTTATTTTTAATTTTTAATTTTCAATTTCCAGTCGCTAATTTCTCATGTTTAATCTTTAATTTCATATTTTTCATTTTATCTCTTAGCTCGTAATTTTTAATTTCGTCTCTTCATTTTTTATTTTTAATTTGCGTTAATTCGGGAATCTGAATTCTTTTTTAATTTTTTTGCCGATATTAAATGTAGAAACATATTCAGGGAAAATTGTTCGTCGGATAGATTAATCTGCGAATATGTGTAACAACAGCAATTAATAGCTGATTGATTCATAATATATACATATTTAAGAGCAATGGGACATTCGTATACCATAAATGGAGAATTTCCCTAAATAGCGAGCTAGTTTTAAACCGTATAACCAATTAATACTATAATGTACCCTGTAACACACAGATACAAACATTTAAACTCGTCAAACTTTGCGAATAACCTTCCGTACCTAACTTCTGCACCTTAAAACAACACACTTTTTTCTCCACTATAAGCTTTAATAATTTCCATTCTTTAATCCTAGCTCAACCTCCATATCGCGGACTAAAGTCATAGTGATATAAAGTCAGGCCACTGCTACTTTGCGTAAAACGATGTTTTACTTTTACCATCGTAAAAAAAACCTACGCATAATCTTTAAAGTTAACAAACCATGCCAGGATATTAAACTTCTAACTTATTTCATTACCGAATTAAGCGGATAATTCTTCTAAAGACTGCAAAACATATGAATAACCGTGTATTTAAATATTTTACTTACACCATTATGATTCTTAGCTCCTCGTATTACTTTGATATCATCGGTTACGATCGATCCTCTCATACTATTTATTTAAAAATTATATTACCTTCTCATCAACTATTTACCAAGTTCCCTTTCGTGTCTCAGCTGTACCCTCTTCCAAAGAGGAACTAATATTTGTACTAAAGAGAAGAACCACTGTTTGTAAACTTTTTACATACACCACTGTGATTCTCAACTCGTCATGTTACGTCTTTAACTTCGTCAATTATCTGTCTTTTCACACTACCCACGTTAAAATTTAACTTCTACCTCGTCAAACCTACACGAGTCACTACACGTCTGTTCTCGTATCTTTGCGAGGAGTGCTAGCTATACGTCGCCCCTATCAAAGGCAAAACGTGCCCAGAATCAAGCAGTCTCCTTCTCGGGGCAGTGTTTTTGAAAAAAGGAGTCGGTACGTATGCAAAGCCGATAATAGGTCGGCCATTTGCTAGGCAGGTTTGGTCGTGCATCCTTCTCGCTTACTTGACGCAACGACTTGCATGCAACACGCGGCATCGCATATCGATTAGAAGGTTCTCATGGCGAAGGACTCTCCGCGTCGTTATACGACAGAAGTAGGGGTTGAAAAACTAATGAACGCAAAGTTCGCCAGCTGACGACGAATCAAGCATGGGGTAGATCGGAGAGCGAAGTTAGAGGGGCGGTAAAGTGGCGCGACGAGGTGCAAATAGATCAGGAAGAAACCGCAGGTTGGAGAGTCGTTCGCCGTGAAATCGTAAATAGAGAGGCGCAAAAATGCGGATTCGCTACAGGAATCTTAATGCCGTGCAGTGCTTTAGAACGGCTGCCTGAGTAGGAAAAATCCAGCGGACGTTGCGCAGACTAACGTTATTTAACGCTTAACTATGTATATCAACTAATATATTAATTTATTTTTTCATACAGAATCGTCCTTATACAGAGCACTCCACTTTGAGCTTGACACGTAATCATCTAATTAAACTATTAGCGAAAAATAGCGAAAGTAAAATGTTTCAATAACTTTGTTGTGTTTCGTACCAGGGGTAGCTTCATCTTACGATACTCACAAATCTTATCTAAATGTGCGTACTTTTACGATTTGACAGTGGCTTTCGTTTTAACTACACCGTTTCCATCGTTACCGCACTTAAAAAATCTTCACAACTGAATAATAATCTAATTAAAAATTCGAAAGAATATAGAAACTTAAAGAAACGAAGTACCGAGTAATACAAAAATGATGAAAAATAGTGACTTTCTATCAGTCTTTATCAAAGGTCGTGTGCTGTTGGTCGAGTTAGAGATCAATAGGATGTGGTTGGAGGGTCGAAGGTGGCGAAGGCGAAAGCAGAGACGAATTCGTGGGACGCAACGGGGCCCAGTGGAATTAATAATGATGAAAGAGCGAAGGGACAGAGTCGAGCGTGCCGCGACCGTATACGTCACGATGCCCCATTATGCTTATGAATATAAATGCACCCTTGGGGGTGGCCGCAATAAATGCCGGTCACAGCGCCGCGCGGATCTCTGAATTCTGCTGGAAACGGCAGCGTACACGCGGCGCTGCCCGTGGAGTAACAAAAATAAAAGGCGTCGCTGCGCCGCCGGCCAGTTTTTCTTCCTTTCTCTCGTACTCCTATCCCTCCGTCCGTCCCTTCTGACCACCTCGCCACCCTCTGCACCCATACCCCTCCCATGTAGTCCCCTCTTTCGTCTACATCTCCTCATCTACGGTCGTTTGCGTCCCTTTGCTTTTTCTACGGGCGCGACCGCGAAAGGTACCGCGTAGCAGTCCGCATAAAAGAATAATTAAAATAAAGTAGGCTGCGTGTAATTCTGCCGAAATTGCGGCGTTGCCACAATAACGATAACAACGAAATAGTTAATGAGGGCCCCCCCCCCCCCCC